GAAGTTTAACATCACCCCAAAAGTTCTGTTTATACTTCTTCCCAGTTTCTGGTCTATCCCATAAGGGCAATGGCTCTGTTTTATTTCTTTTTTGAAGTCTTGCAATGAATTTGTTTCACATGAATCATTTAAAACTTTATAATAAAATCAGACAGCACATACCTTTTTGTGAAAGCTTTCTTCCAATCAACATAATGCTTCTGAGATTTATCTATGTTTTATGAATCAATAGTTAATTCCTTTTTATCGCTGAGTAGTATTCCATTGCATGGACATACCAGAGCTTGTTTACACATTTTCTTCCAGATGGATACCTCAGCTTTTTATAGCATTCAGCTATTATGATAAAGCTTCTAGTAGCATCCTTGTACAAATCTTTTTTAGACATCTGCTTTCATTCCTCCTGAGCAAATACCTAAGAGCCAAATTATTGGGTCATATGTTAGACGTATGTTTCATTTAATAAAAAACTGCCAGATATTTTTACAGAGTAATTGTGCAGTTTATATTCCCATCAGCAATGTGTGAGAATTCTGGATGTTTCACATCCATGCCAATATTTGCTTTTTCAGTTTTTAAACTTTTGGTTATTACAGTCTCCCTCTCTTGTTTCCAAATAAATGCACTTACCCAACAATTCTGATTTGCATAAGTATGGGTGACTCTTATTTTTTCTTGTGCCTTTTCAGTAAATTTAATTTTGTAAAAGCAGTTTTAGCAATAAATTCAGCATTTTACAAAATTAAAAAATAAATTTAGCTAAAAAAAGTTATGTAAATACTTGTCAATGTTGTGCAAATGATTACAGTACTCATAGCTTGTGATATAATTTCAGAGACTTCTTTACATTAAAATGCAAAATATACTGTATTGCAAACAAACTGGAGTAAAGATAATGATTTTAGAGAATGTGTTGGATGATGAATGAAATAATCTGAATGATGATGAAGAAACTAAAAAAGAAGATTCATGTGAGATATTTGAATATTTATGCATTTTATATTAAACAATTTTTCCAAAGTAATATATAATTTGAAGTTTTAAACATCATTGTTAACTAATTTAATTATTATCATTAGCTACATTCTTTTTCATCTACATCTTTAAATTGTCACTTATTTAAATTGGCCAAATTTTTAAGAAAATCCTTGCATTGGCAAAATTTGGTTATGTATATTAGTTTTAGATTTTATTTAAACTTTTTAATGGTAACTACAACAACACAGAATTTCAGTGAATAATTGGCAAAATAAAAGCATTTAAAATACATTTAGATAACGTAGCATGACAATGTTTGATCTGGATCTTGATCCTAGGAGTATGTGATTTTTCCCATAATTATACAATGAATGCAACACTGGAACCAAATATCAGTCCTCCTCCTGCCTCCTAGAGTAACACTTGATCCATTTGTGATATAGGCATTGCTCAGAGATATTTCAGGTTTAGTTCCAGAGCACTGCAACAAAATGAATATTGTGGTAACGTGAGTCACACAAATTTTTTGATTTCCTAGTGTATATAAAAATTATGTTTGCATTATCATGTAGTCTATTAAGCACATGATTGCATTATGTTTAAAAATATAGATACCTTAATTGTCAAAAAGTACTAATGATCATATGAACTTTCAGTGAATCCTCATCTTTTTCTGGTGGAGGGTCTTGCCTCAATGTTGACGGCTGCTGGTTATTCAGGCTGGAGGCTGCTGAAGATTGGGATGGCTATAACAATTTTGCTTTCTCTCTCTCTCTCTTTTTAGAGATGAAGTCTTGTTGTTTTTGGCAAGGCTAAACTTGAACTCCTGGACTAAAGCAATCCTCCCTCCTTAGCCTCCCGAATAGCTGGAACTTCAGGCATGTGACACTATGCCCAGTTTGGCTGTGACAATTTCTTAAGAAGATGACAATGACATTTGCTGCATCAATTGACTTTTTCTTTTACAACAGATTTCTCCTTTACCCACAAAACTTATTTCACAATTTGAGTCAGTTCTCACAAACCTTACTAACTGTTTTATCATATAAGTTTATGTTATATTCTAAATCTTTTTAAAATTTCAATATTCACACCTACTCACCAGAAGTAGATTTTATCTAAAGAAACTACTTCCTTTGTTCATCCATAAGAAGCAGTTCCTTATATGTTTATGTTTTACCATGAGATTGCAGCAATTTAGTCACATCTGTAAGTAAGCTCCACTTTTAATTCTAGCTGTCTTACTGTTTCCACCACACCTGCAGTTTCCTCCTTCACCAAAATCTTGAACCCCTGAAAGTCATCCATGAAGGTTGGAATCAAGTTTTTCCAAGCTTCTGTTAGTGTTGATATTTTGACCTCTTCTCATGAATCATAAGTGTTCTTAATGGCATCTAGAATAATGAATCTTTTCCATAAAGTTTTAAGTTTATTTTGCCCAGATCCATCGAAGAATTATGTCTATGGTAGCTATAGGCTTATGAAATGTATCTCTTAATTAATGAAACTTAAATGTTAAAATTACCTCTTGATTGATGGCTTGCAGAATGAATGTTGTGTTAGCAGGCATGAAAACAATATTCATCTCCTTATACAGTTCCATCAGAGTTCTTGGGTAACCAGGTACTTTGTCAGTGAGCAGTAATATTTTGAAAGGAACCTTTTTCTGAGCAGTTGGTCTTCACAGTGGGCTTCAGATATTCAGTTTAGACTGCTGTTAAATGATATGCCGTCATCTAAGCTTTGTTGTTCCATTTACAGAGAATGGACAGAATAGATTTAGCATAATTCTTAAGGGCCCTAAAATTTTTGGAATGGTAAATGAAGATTGGCTTCAGCTTAATGTCACCAGCTGCATGTCACTGTCAGCTGACCTGCATGTCACCATCACCAGTTGTATGTCATCATCAACCTGTCCTTTGAAACTTTGAAGTCAGGAATTGGCTTCTCTCTTTTAGCTATAAAAGTACTAGATGACATCTTCTTACATAGAAGGCTGTGTTATCTACATTGAAAATCTGTTGTTTAGTGTAGCCACCTTTATCAGTGACCTCAGCTAGTCTTCTGGATAACTTGATGCAACTTCTACATCAGCACTTGCTGCTTCAACTTGCACTTTTATATTACAGAGATGGCTTCTATCCTTAAAACTCATGAGCCAAACTCTGCTAGCTCCCAGGTTTTCTTCTGGAGCTTCCTCACCCTTTCTTAGCTTTCAGGAAGTTGAACAGAAATAGGGCCTTGCTCCGAATGAATTAGGCTTTGGTTTAAGAGAATGTTGTCACTACTTTCGTCTATTCAGATCACTAAAATTTTCTCAATATAGCAATGAGGCTGTTTTGCTTTCTTATCATTTGGGTGTTCACTGGCATAGCACTTTTGAATTTCTACGAGAACCATTCCTTTGCATTCACAACTTGGCTTACTATTTGGTATAACAGATCTAGTATTCAGCATATCTCATCTTTCAACATCCCTTCCTCACTAAGTTTAATAATTTCTCTCTGTTGATTCTAAGTAAGAGACACAAGACTCTTCTTTTCACTTGAGCACTTAGAAGCCATTGTAGAGCTATTAATTGGCCTAATTTTAACATTGTTGTGTTTAAGGGAGTAGAAATGCCTGAGAACAGGACGAGAGATGGGGAAACAGCCATTGAATAGGGCAGTCCAAACACACACAACATTTACCAATTAAGTTCATTGTCTTATATGTGCATAGTTTGTGGTGCCCCGAAACAGTGATATCAATGGTAACATCAGTGATTACTGATCACAGGTTACCCAAACAGATATAATGAAATAGTCTGAAAAATTGTGAGAATTACCAAAATGTGACACAGAGACACAAAGTGAGCACGTTATTGGAAAAAATGGTGCCGATAGACTTGCTAGATACAAGGTTGTACTAATCTTTGATGTGTAAAAAAATGCTATACCTTTGAAGCACTGAAAAGCAAGGCACAGTAAAATGAGATATCTTGTATTGTGTTGCCTAGATCTATTTTAAGCTCAAACATCTAAGCAAGAACAACCTTTGCTTTAAAGAAGCATGAAAATCACTCTCCCATGGTCACAGTGTATGAATTGTGACTAAGAAATCACACTAACCAGCAATCAGGTTAGAAAAAAGCAGACATGGCAAGCATTTGACAACTTTTAGGACATTTTAAAAAATGATTGTCCCTGAAAATGCAATTTGTAAAGTTTCTATTTCTAGCAAGTTCATAAGCAAAGTGTAAGAATATATCTCCTGACAGCACTTGAGTAATTTGATTCAATCTTGTGAAATAATGTAAATAAGAAATGGAGAAAGATACCATCCCATTCTTTCTCCCTTGTTGTTCAAAGGGTAGGCTTCAGAAGAACTGGAATTAAGTTGCATTAGAAATATTCACAAGTGAGTATGTCTGTCGGACCTACAGGCACACAGTTTAACTTTATGAATTGGGGTTGGATGACAGATTTTAAAGATGCATGTTGTGGAGTAAGACAGATAAGGGAAAATCTCTTCTTTCTAGTAATATTCAGTTACCCTGTCCAAACTGTCTCCATCATTAAGTTCTATAAGTGATCATCATCATGTCCAGAGCAAAGATAAATGAAAATTAAGGGTAAATATATATTGTTACTTATATATAATAGGCAAAATGGCATTTTGTGTATGTGGGGGTCATAAACATTAAAAACCATTCAAGGGCTTTTCTGGTCCCATTTTTCTCACAATATCTCACATCTATTAATAATTATATGTTATTATGTTTTCTTCACCTAGAACCTATCAGTTCAGTGAGAGGATAGGCTACTATATATAACTATCTGAAAGTAATACTCCACATGTATAAATATGCCTTTATTATTTGAGTAAACTCTTTGTAAATTGCTATTACATTAAATTTGATGTCATAGAATACACTGAAAGAAAGATGTTGAAAGTACCGTAAGTATACTATATGTATTAGTCATATCTATATGAAAGAGCCTGAGCATACAGTATATATTTTTTGGCTTTATGTTTTTCAGTGGTTGCAAATGATGGATTTTATGTAATACTGAAAGGCCTAGCTCGAACTCAAACAAAAGTCTCCTACAATCTGATGGAAGGAAGTGACTCACAAGTCTCGTTCATACCTCAGAGTTCCCCCAGCTTTATTTTGGGTGAAAAATTCAAAAAGTCTACACTTGCTGAGATGTACCTACCTTCATATGACTCAATGGTAAGAGAGGAGTATTTGCTATTTTAATAAGCAACAAGGTAACATATTTTTGTAAAACTTTATCTCTTCCAAATATTGAAATCTTATCTTTAGAGTTCTGAAATATTTAAGATAATATATCCTTTAGAATATAAATGATATTGTTAATATTGAAATTTGATTAAATATTTTTGATAAAGGATGCCTTCAACAGCAACCTGACCACCGGCAGGGTTTGTGTGGTGTATTTGATAACAGGCAAGGTTGAAGTGGCTGAATCTCTGAAAGTGGGAGAATAGTAGTTTCAGATAAAGGAGAGGGAATAGGTGATTGAGGAGGGGGAGACAGGAAGAAGACTCATTGATTATGGAGGACCTTTAAATTAAGTCAAGAATTAAGTGTGTTTATTATGTTTGCCTCAAGAGCAATGCTAAGATAGTCAAGTAGTTAATTTCATTATAATCAGAAATTAGTTAATCAAGGAAAATCTTTTGCATCTGTATAGTATTTTAAGACTATCTGGTTGTCTTAAAATTAAAAGTTCCATATGTTTCTGAATCTCTGAATACTCCATGTTGGATAGAGGTCTGAATTGACTAGAATTGTGGCTAATAGTCATTCTCAATTTAGGGTGACCAAGATATCAAGAGTAGAAAAGAGTCAAATAACAAAGCCAAATTATTTAACATTATGGAGTACAGTCAGAAAAATCTAGAACAATATCATGTTCAAGAAAAATAAGCATGGGTCATACCCTGAAAGAATGACAAGGATAAAAATGAACAAGCCTATAAATGCACATTATTCATCTCACATGAGTGAATGATGTTTCTGGTTGTATTCTTGTTACGGATAGAAAAGAATGCATTTGCCATGTCAGTGACCACATATAATGGACCTAATGCTATTTGAATATGCTCTAGCAAATATAGCATGTTTAGCACACGGCTATAATTTGGGCTGTTTCTTGGTTGAATTTCTAGTAGTTGAATTCGAGCTTCAAAGACCCATTTTATTTTTTAATGTTAAAACTCATATATTAAATGAGGACATGATGGGAGTCACAAGATCTGCATTCTGCTTTAGTTCTTTAGGAGCAGTACTAATTTCTGGCATTCCACCTGATATGTGATATTGTTTTCAATTTCGTATCTTGGCCAGAGTGGGGAAAAGTGTAGAGAGCAGTTTCAGAGGCTTCCACTTAATCTTCACTGTGATAGCTCTTATTGCATACGCCGAGAAGCCAGTGTGGAAACTCTACCAACTACCAAGTATCCATTTAAATTATGCTTTTAGGGGCCATGGGTGTTGCCCATGGGGTAGATTTATGGACCCAGTGAAGCATTGGGAACCAGACCTGAACCAAAACTCTACTTTTTAGGAATTCTACCTGTTTCTTCTCTGTAACAGGTGACCATGAAGACATTTTATGTATCAAGGGTTTAATATCCCTATCTCAAATTTTAGAGCTTCACTTTTCTCCATCAGGGCCCTAGCCTTAGCAAAAAATAGAAAAAAAATTCTTGCTGAGCTTGAGACTGCTATAGCAGAGCTCCAGAAACGTAAATATGATTATATTTCTATCTATATGCATATATATCTACCTACCTGCCTACCAATTATCTATTTACCTACCTGTCTGTATTCCAAGTCAGATTCTCAGATTATTTTGCCTTCTAACTGTTAAAGGTGAGATTTTCTTTATATACTGCCAAAGAACCCTTGGATTAGATCCTTCATCTTAAATGGGTGATTAATTTTCCTCATCTTTTTATTTTATTTCTTTAGTGCACTGAGAGCTCCCTGCAGCAATCATCCTATGCTATGGTCCTTATAATTATTCATTCTACAACATCTCAAACATCTGAGATATTGTACCTTGCAGTGCATTCCCTTCTGCTAGTACCTAATGCCTGCTTAACATCATTAAAATTTTATCAGTGATACTGATACAGCATGTCAAAGACTACCAGTGCTCTAGTGATGGATTTGTATTGCTAGCTGGCTGGCAGGCAGTTAAGCTCTAAATCAAGTATTTTTTCTACTTTAATAAAATATTTTGAAAAAAATAAAAATAAATCAAGCAGACAATTTTAACTTGCAGCAACTCTGTGGTGTTTGTTGTTTACAGAAGGACAAGTATATGATTATTGATAAATTTATTTCATATTGCTAAAAATTTAAATTATCCCTGCTAACTCTGTCCCCTGTAGGAATTATGAGTGAAGCTGGTATTATAAAACAACCTGCTCTTTTCCTATTTTAAAATTTGCCTTTTTGTGTATTTACTTAGTAGGCCTTTTTCAAATAAAAATACTACTACTTCCAAAGATTTGTGCCTAGGAGAGTTTTGTAGTTTTGCACACATCAAGAGCTATATTTTTCTTTCTCTTTTTATTTGGCTTTTTTTTTTAAAACCTTACTTGCTTTTATATTGTGTTGTAACAGAGAACCAAACAACTAAGAAGAAAAAACTATAATATTTTCACGCCTCAATTTCACCGTCCAACAGTTTGGTAAAACAAATTGGCATCATTTGAGTATAACAAACATAAGGTGAAAAAGATCTAATCCAAGGATCAAATTTATTTCTCACAAGATAATATATAGTTCTAAATAAAAATTGTTAAAGTTGCAAGCATCTGCTGTTCTTACTCTTTACTACACACTGGACAAAAAATGAGTACAGTATAAATGTACAGTGACATAATTTTTTTGGATTAGTTTTATTACAAATGGTAATATTACAAGTGGTGTAATATTATTCTTTCATGATACCTGGATCCTAGCATCTCAATCAGATCCTAGGTATTAATGAATAACCTCACTCTTTTTGGTCTTACAAATTTCAGTCCTGTCTTTATATCAAATTTTCAAACTTTCATGCTTGATACTCAGCTTGTGCCTTCTTGTGTCATAGAATCCAGCAGTGGGAATCTATGTTTTCTCAACATAGATTTACACATTAAAGCTGAAAGTTTTTCATTAGAGTTAAGAAAGTTTTTCATTATACTATGAAAGAGATAAAACATTACACATGTATTTATAACCAACTTAATGCATTTAATAACTTTGAAATCTTTAATTTTATTTTTTCTAATGAGTCTTACAACTTTTAAATTATAATAATAAATTCAAATTTCTTAGAGACATCTCAGCATAGATATTTGTACATTCTGTGACAAAATACACATACACAAAAACATGCATACATGCTCTTCTATATTTTGTATCAATATACTTCTATATTGAATATATATTATTTGCAATAAAACATATTTTACTAAAATATATTTTTGCTACGATTAAATTTAGCAAAATCATAAAAGCAAATTATTAAGTTGAAGATTCTCAATAATTATTAAAAGAACTTTCTAGTTCGTTAATAGTAGTTATCTTTGAAATACATTTGGAGCTATGTGGAAAAAAATGATAAAAATGTATTAATATATTCAACAAGCTGGGCCCAGTGAGGGTAAAATTTTAAAATAGTTACCTGTTCTTTACACCAAAGTTTTCAAACAAGTGGTATAATATTATTCATTCATGATACCTGGATCCTAGCATCTCAATCAGATCCTAGGTATTAATGAATAACCTCACTCTTTTTGGTCTTACAAATTTCAGTACTGTCTTTATATCAAATTTTCAAACTTTCATGCTTGATACTCAGCTTGTGTCTTATTGTGGCATAGAATCCAGCAGTGGGAAGAATAGTTTAAATTAGTCTATTCCCCTTTCTTATTTTGTACACTCTTACTTACTAACTTCATTTTCTGACTCTTCACAGTCAGGAAAGGAAAAACATTGGAAATTAAAGGTAAATGACAACAGGACGTTCTGTGATTAGATGTCCAAATCTAGGCTCATTTTCTCAGGTGTTGCTCCTTTTGCAGTTCTTGGAGAGGGTGTTGCCTCCTAGGGGGCTTTTTAATACCACACTCTTGATCCCTGGCTTCAGGCAGTGACAACTTAAATCTCTGTTTAGGGTCAATTCATGTCTCTGGGAGGTCCCCAGGGTTGTTCACTTTTCATACAGTTTAAGCTGGATACTTTTTGTGGGTCCCCCAAATTGATGGGGAAGCGATAGTTTCAAATTTACTCCACCAACTTACTGTGTCCTCACTCTGAGCCTATATGTCAGTGGGAGTGAAGGAGAAAGAAAACTTCAGGACTTTGAAAATTGTCATGAAGCAGGTATCTTTCAATCTTTGCTGTCAACTTCCCAATATCATTTCTCAAGACGATCTTGAATTTATAGTTGAAGGAATTTGCACTTATTTGAGACACCACTTGAAATTATGACTTTGAATCTTTATTATTTATTTATTTTTTTGAGACAAAGTCTCACTCTGTTACCCAAGCTGGAGTACAGTGGCGCAATCTCGGCTCACCACAACCTTCACCTCCTGGGTTCAAGTGATGCTCCTGCCTCAGTCTCCTAAGTAGCTGGGACTACAGGCATGTGCCACCATGTCTGGCTGATTTTTGTATTTTTAGTAGAGACAGAGTTTCGCTATGTTGGCCAGGCTGGTCTTGAACTCCTGACCTTATGATCCACCCGCCTCGGCCTCTCAAAGTGCTGGGATTACAGGTGTGAACCACCGCTCCCAGCCTGGAGTTTGAATCTTATACTTACAATAACATTTAGCACAAAAGTCTGTACATGGAAAATTTTTGAATGGGTAAGAATGAAAGTGTCTAGCAGGGTGTCTCATACTAATGCAGGAAAAATAATTATAGGGTCACTACTTTGGTCTAGGAGTGAGATTACAAGGGCATGAAATACATAGTGATTGCATTCTTAGTTTGTGCCTATGTAATAAAATAGTTTAATAAGATACCAATGTTAGTGCATTAAAAAATCAAAATGATATTTATTTGTGATCATTTTGGAAGCTGTAATTTCACCATTTATTCTCTTGGTAAGATAGGAAAAGGCAACAGTTCTACCTTTCTTTGTATAAGTTGAGTTGGGGCACCAGAGATAATAAGCATATGTAGAGAAGGTAAATCAAAAA